CCGAGTTACCGAGTAACCCTTCCCAGCCCTAGTCACCTTTGTAGTTGTTTTCTTTTTCATGCTTAAGTCATCTTGTGTAAGCAGGAACTTTTGATTTTGAACAAATTATTTAAATGTAATTATCGTTTCATAATGTCATAGGTGATTAAGATTGACAGAAAACCAGTGAATTATTCAACCATTTGTTGGATAATATATTTACTAAAGCATGGAAAGATACTATGATCTAAATCCAATTTGTCTTTCTACATGTTTGAAAAACATACTTTTAGCTTTTCACTATTCTTGAATTGGCACTCTAGTGATGGTTTCAAAACTTGTGAAACATTTTTGTTTTACCTTCAACAAATACATCACATTTACAGCATCTACATCATTTCTTATTTGATTACAAAATGATAAAATTATAAAGCAGAAAAAATTAACCAATACTTGCTCAAATTGAATTACGCAACTGGATGATTGTTGCCTATGTAGATGATGTGATTCTTGCCCAAGAGATATCAGTCAATGGCGGCTTACAGCTCTGGCATAGATACTTGTGATGTACATGCTGTAATAGGATTGAGTATGAATGTTACCTGATGAAGTCAAACACGACAAAGCCATGGGCATTCACTGAAGATCCATCTTTCAGGAATAGCACATCAAATCCTGCAGATGTCTAGTGGGAGTCTTTTTTGCGTGATCTGTGTCGAAAAGCCATGTTTAAACTGTTGATTGATTTGTGATCCGCTTCTCAAAGGAAATGAAATTTTGATTGATTCTTGTTCACCAAACAGAACCCTCTGCTATTCCTGCAGTTTTTATACATGTTATATGTTCTGCATTTTGCCATATTCTTTGATACCAATGTGATTGGTCTATTTGAAACATGAGGAAAGCCTTGTTCGCCATCAACAGAATCTAGTTTAACGCTGGTGATTTAAATGAGAATCTTGTTGCAGCATTTACTCTTGGGGTGTTATTATAGGGAAAGATGCAGTGTTCGTTGATATAGTTGATGTCTAGCTTGAGTCATTTAGTTCAGTCTGTTACTAACACTGTGATAGGACAGAAGGTTGCTGGATGCTATTCCTAATTTAATTACATGATAATGGTATTGTGATTGGCATGTTCAGTCAAACCTTTCAGGCCCATCAAAGAAATGTCGTGTATTGATAAAAAAAAATGCACAAAATGTCCACACTTTTCTTAGTCTTTGTCATAAAAACTATGAAACACATTTATTTGTAGACATTGTACACATATTCAGTCTGTACTAACACTACTGTGTACTACTAACTACTACCAGCCTGAGGGGACCTTGGGGTAGCCTAGTGGTAAAAGCGTTCGCTCATCATGCCAAATACTCGGGTTTGATTCCCCACATGGATACAACGTGTGAAGCCCATTTCTGGTGTCCCCTGCCGTGATATTGCTGGAATATTGCAAAAAGTGGCGTGAAACCATTAGTCCTTCACTCACTACCAGCCTGAAATTGTACCCTGGCATCATTCTTGTTACTATAAGTGGGGATTCCGGATAAGAATATAGCAACCCATGCTTGTTGTAAGAGGCGAATAACGGGATCGGGTGGTTAGGCTCAGTGACATGGTTGATGCATGTCATTGTGTCCCAAATGCATAGATGATATCAATCATTGGATTGTCCGGTCCAGGCTCGATTATTTACAAAGCGTCATATAGCTGGAATGTTGTTGAGTGCAGCGAACAAAAAACATTGTCCTTAATTTGATATAAATTAATTGTCTTTTATCAGCTGGGTTTAAAAGTCAGAAAGATATCTTACATGACTAAGGCTTGGGAGTAGTGGCTAAAGTTAAGGCTGCATATCTTAGCATCTGGATTGCATTGAGTGTCCTGAAAACTGCAATTTGGGATATCTCTTAAACGAGACTTCATTAACAGATCTGTCTGTGAGGCTGGGTGTTCACAAAAACAGTACCAGTGAAGCACCCTCAGCAATAGCGGCAGGGTTGGCTTTCCTTGCTAAAAAGTTCAAAACCATTTCCAATAGGTCATTAAAAAAAAGAAACATGTGGAGTATTTATAGCGAAATGACCCAAGTGTTGACTTATCTTGATGTTAGGCTTCTGTTGGTCAACACACATGTAGATATTTTGCCTCTAGTGTGTGTGTAGCTCTCAGTATGGCAGTAGGGGTACGGGTGGCCCAGTCGTCTGAGGCGCCGCGATTCGCTGTGCAGAGTTGTGTCCCTTGGGCACGCCAGAAACCTATGATTGTGGGTTCGAATCCCGGTTCGCCCCGATTATGTTTCTAGGTTTGTCAGCACCATACCCGGGCACATGGGTTTCACCGAAGTGGTAAACGTCTGAGACCCGCATCATTTAGGGCTTTCCTCCCACATTAAGCTGACACAGCGTGATGTAACTAGAATACTGTTAAAAGCGGCGTTAAACCCAACTCACTCACTCACTCACTCACTCACTCACTCACTCACTCAGTATGGCAGTCAATGAGGTGTTGCTTACTGGTGTTTTTCTGAGCACTGGAACGTCACATATTCAATGGAGAAAGTAATAAGTATGTACACAATCGACTGATAATTCTGCTTTTCCCATATTTTGTGGACATTTCACTCATAAATAATAGTTTTTAAAAAAAATTCAAATACAAGATATCATTGATAGTTTGAGCCTTGTTGTGAAACTTTTTAATTCAGAGTAAAATAATCCTTTATATATATCACTGGTTACAGTGTAACTCTGTAGCTCAGCTGACAGAATGGCTGATTTTGGATGGCAAAATGATCTGCTTCCTTTATCCTGACAGAGAATTCCTGAGAATCTTTTTGATTCTGTGATGTACTATCTGATGTTTGTTTCAACTTGAAAGGAAGATCATGGAAGATGTTCTACCTCCATCAACTTTAGACAGTGTTCGAATATAAGGGAGGTTAACACTAGATGTTCTGCCTCCATCAACTTTAGACAGTGTTAAAAAAATAAGGGAGATTAACACTAGATGTTCTACCTCCATCAACTTTAGACAGTGTTCAGAAAATAAGGGAGGTTAACACTAGGTGTTCTGCCTCCATCAACTTTAGACAGTGTTAAAAAAATAAGGGAGATTAACACTAGATGTTCTACCTCCATCAACTTTAGACAGTGTTCAGAAAATAAGGGAGGTTAACACTAGGTGTTCGACCTCCATCAGCTTTAGACAGTGTTCAGAAAATAAGGGAGGTTAACACTAGGTGTTCGACCTCCATCAGCTTTAGACAGTGTTAAAAAAATAAGGGAGATTAACACTAGGTGTTCTACCTCCATCAACTTTAGACAGTGTTCGAAAATAAGGGAGGTTAACACTAGGTGTTCGACCTCCATCAACTTTAGACAGTGTTCGAAAATAAGGGAGGTTAACACTAGATGTTCTACCTCCATCAACTTTAGACAGTGTTCATAAATAAGGGAGGTTAACACTAGATGTTCTACCTCCATCAACTTTAGACAGTGTTCGTAAATAAGGGAGGTTAACACTAGATGTTCTACCTCCATCAACTTTAGACAGTGTTCGTAAATAAGGGAGGTTAACACTAGATGTTCTACCTCCATCAACTTTAGACAGTGTTCGAACATAAGGGAGGTAAACACTAGATAATCTACCTCCATCAGCTTTAGACAGTGTTAAAAAATAAGGGAGGTTAACACTAAATGTTCTACCTCCATCAACTTTAGACAGTGTTTGCAAATAAGGGAAGTTAACACTAGATGTTCTACCCCATCAACTTTAGACAGTGTTTGAAAATATAGGAGGTTAACACTAGATAATCTATCTCCATCAGCTTTAGACAGTGTTCGTAAATAAGGGAGGTTAACACTAGGGCTTTTGACAAGGATCCCTTTACTTTCATAATTTTGAACACATGGAAGGAGTACGAATCAGACTATAATTTAGTCCTTTGAAATTAAGATTGCCAACAGACTGTATGTTGTCTTTGATAGGCATATAGAAGTTGGTAGAGCATGAATACATTATGCTTTTTTATGGATAAGAACTTCTTTTATTCTTTATATGACGTTTCAGAGCTACTTGTTGCTCCTTCATCAGGTGAATGCTTAGTAAGTGCATAGAGTATTATATATATATATATTATGACAACACCAGGTGGGATGAATGTACAGATAACAGCATAATGACAAAGCCAATGACATAGATATAGGATTAGGGTACAAAGATAACTATATAAAATAAAAGAAGTTGCTATCCACAAAAATGTGTCATGTATTCAGACTGTGTGTTATTGCTAAGATGTCCTCTTACGTTTGCATTAACAGCCTTCTTCTGATGTATGAGGAGGTTCCATTAAGCAAAGCATCTTGCAAGGGAAAGCCCTTGACTTAGAATTTTTGTTTAAAAGGGCCATAAATTTGAAAATACTTTGAAAAGTCATTGAATAAAGACTAGATGGCATGAAAAAGCCCTTCATAAATAACAATTTCAAAATGATGTAAATGTACAGTTACAATTACCTCTAGAAGTTACATAAAAGTTTGTGTATATTTAGCACCGTTAGTGATAAAGGGGTCCTTGGATCCTAAGTGTGTTTCCTTCAGTACATTCATCTAAGGAACCGATAATGTATCATTTTAACATTTGCAGACTTAGTTTAAGCCACTGTTTGGCATGAGCTAGATCGAAACGTTGAAAAGAAATAAGTTATCTCAAATCAATAAAAAAAATGGTGTCTTGAAAACAACCCAAGATGGCCTTGAATTTTTAGCATGAGCTAGATTGAAACGTTGAAAAGAAATAAGTTGTCTCAAATCAGTAAAAAAAATGGTGTCTTGACAATAATCCAAGATGGCCTTGAATTTCTTTTGTAATGGTGACTGGAATTTAGGTTTTGCTTCACCTTTGCGTACTGTCTGTTTTCTTTCCCTTCCTCCTGACCATCTGTTCCCTCTCAGAAGATTCATTGCCTTTCTCTTGGAGCAAACCATACCCAAACTTAATTTTCAATGATCTCTGTTTTAGATATTGATGAGGCAGCAGAGCTCCAGGGCAACAGAGGGACGTGTGTAGACGAGACCAACAACAAGGTCTGCGAATCAGAGTACGAGGAAATCCGTGACTGTAAGCGCGAATTGGGGAAAGACAGTGATGGTCTCCCAAGATACGCTGATCTCTTTAGTGAAAAGATAAAACGTGCTCAAGAATTGGGAGTAGACCCCCCTTGTGCAGGAGATGCATTTAACCGAGCCACAGCACCCCCGCTAACTAGTGAGGACCCTGATTTCGTGTCCCAGCACTGTGATGTACAGGAAGTGCTGAGTGGCACTGCCAAAATTCTTGTCACGGAGACAGACACTTTACAGTGCACTGTGGAAGATAGTGATAGGATTTATTATAACATTGCCCCTGAGAAGGACAGTGTGGATATGCAAGAAAGTGGGCCATGTGAAGAGGGTGCTAGTGTGCCTACTGGGCCGGAAACAGTTTGTGCTAGTTCTGACTGCAAATCAAACACTGATTGCTCAAATTATGATCAGCTTATTGAACCAGACACTCTCAGTGATGTGGACTGTCATGAGTATCAGAAACTTGTGGACTTATCAGAAGCTGCTTCACAGAATGCGAATGCTAACGACAAGTGTATAGTAGAGCCTAGCCAAACCCAAGTGACAATGAACGGACACCTCGAGGCACAGAGCTGCTAGCCCTGGGGTGTAGGCGCTGTGAGATGTGTGAATATGTTGAAAGGTACTGATCACTGTAACTCTATGTACAGTCCTTCCTCAGCCACCGTAGCCCCTATGTAGTCATCAGGAATAGGCACTAATACCTAATGAGCTGGGAGCAAGGGCTGCCCATGTGTATATTGTATCATAGACTTCTGTAGTTCGATAGTCATGGTGCACAATGTCTGTCTCACTGTGAGGAAGTGACTGTCATCAATTATCACCAAGGTTCTTCAACAGACCTGTGATCATTATCTGAAATTGTGATCCTGTAGCTTTGGGAAGTGGTGTCATGGCTTTTTATACATTATCAGCTACTTGATGTACTTAGATGTACAAATATCAATAATATTGTCATTCTGATGCAAATTATATTCATAGTCACTCAGATGATTTCCATAATTGAATACCTCACAAAATGAAAATTCTGTTCAGTGAAATAGGACTCCCGGACAGTTCATTATACGAGTGATTGACTCATTTATTTTCAAATTTGGTAGCATAATATTGAAAAATGCCTTGTCAAAAGTTGTTAAAAATCATAAAAAATGGCCTCCAGCAAAATCACTCTGACGAAATGTGTTATCAATTCTTGTCATTAAAATAATAAAATGAATTCCAAGCTTATTCAGCAAGAGATGGCAGCTCTTCCTCTTCCAATGAACATAATGACACCATCTCTATCACATGTCCAAGAGTCTCCCTTCCATCTTGGAATCTGTATATATACTTCAAGACGCATTACACCATGACTATCATCTATACAGCATCACAGCATGGTGAATGTATCCACTCCTTGCCTCTCCCAGATAGGATGTATGCTCTACATGGTGACACCATGTGCCATGATTCTGAAGAGAAAGACTTCTGCTGAGTGTATAGATTTATTTTATCATCTGTATGCAGAATTCAAGTGTATCTGTGCTTTTATTGGTTTGTATTCTGTTTGTAAGTTACATGTTTTTCGAACCTTCAGGAAGTCTTGATGTACATAGGAGTCCAAGAGCACCTGCATACGTTTGTGACAGAAGCAACAAAATGTTGCAAGGCATTTGATTTTAGTACTGTAATCTATTTTTACACGTTAACAGAAGAAATAACTCCTTCCTTAGCATTCATGCCAAGAAGGATTAATAACCGTATAACATTTCTCATTTTCTTCCTAATCATAGATGGCCCAGTGGTCTAAGGTGTCACATTTATTTGCAGAGTTGCATCCCTTGTTGGTGTGAGGATACGCTGGTCGTGGGTTCTTAACCAATCTACTGTTTTAAGCTGCTATGAGCCTCTCAATCTTTTGACTGTATTCATTCGATTAGAAGTCTGCTTAAAAGTAAATGCAATCCATAAATGTTTTGTTTCTAAACAGAATCTTTCCTTGTAATACAGCATGAAAAGCCAAAAATCTTATTTATTTGTTCAGTTTTGCCAAATAGGGAAAATGTTTGTCACAGCTTGGTAGTATGATATGATGCCGTGTGCGTACTGCAGATGTCACATCATAGCTGAAAGTAAGATTCTAGACTTCGAAGTGTGTCATTTCTTGTGAGGGAGATCACAACTGTGTCATCATTATCCGTGCAGGTGATGACGACTGTGTCAGTGATTGTGCAGATGGTGACGACTGTCAGTGACTGTGCAGGTGATGACGACTGTGTCAGTTACTGTGCAGGTGATAACGACTGTGTCTTCATTATCCGTGCAGGTGATGACGACTGTGTCAGTGACTGTGCAGGTGATGACGACTGTGTCATCATTATCCGTGCAGGTGATGATGACTGTGTCATTGACTGTGCAGGTGATAACGACTGTCAGTGACTGCAGGTGATGACGACTGTCAGTGACTGCAGGTGATGACGACTGTGTCAGTGACTGTGCAGGTGATAACGACTGTGTCATCATTATCCGTGCAGGTGATAACCACTGTCAGTGACTGTACAGGTGATGACGACTGTCAGTGACTGTGCAGGTGATGACGACTGTGTCAGTGACTGTGCAGGTGATGACGGCTGTGTCAGTGACTGTGCAGGTGATGACAGCTGTGAAGGTGATGATGACTGTGTCATCATTATCCGTGCAGGTGATGACCACTGTGTCAGTGACTGCAGGTGATGACAACTGTCAGTGACTGTGCAGGTAATGACGACTGTGTTAGTGACTGCAGGTGATGACGACTGTCAGTGACTACAGGTGATGACGACTGTCAGTGACTGTGCAGGTGATGACAACTGTCAGTGACTGCAGGTGATAACGACTGTCAGTGACTACAGGTGATGACAACTGTCAGTGACTGTGCAAGTGATGACGACTGTCAGTGACTGTGCAGGTGATGACGACTGTCAGTGACTGCAGGTGATAACGACTGTCAGTGACTACAGTTGATGATGACTGTGTCAGTGACTGCAGGTGATGACAACTGTCAGTGACTGTGCAGGTGATGACGACTGTCAGTGACTGCAGGTGATAACGACTGTCAGTGACTACAGTTGATGACGACTGTGTCAGTGACTGCAGGTGATGACGACTGTCAGTGACTGTGCAGGTGATGACGACTGTCAGTGACTGCAGGTGATAATGACTGTCAGTGACTACAGTTGATGACGACTGTGTCAGTGACTGCAGGTGATGACAACTGTCAGTGACTGTGCAGGTGATGATGACTGTGTCAGTGACTGCAGGTGATGACGACTGTGTCAGTGACTGTACAGGTCATTTATGACCTATAGCATCCGATGGATCTTCCGCTTGTCTACTCCAGAATTTTTCATTACACAAGCAGATACTCAACCCTCACCTGAAAATGTATCTGGACCACATGATGAATGATTTCAAGTTACTGATGTGTTTATTAAGAAAGCATTGTGAAAGTGAACTGTACCATGATGCGACTGTAACTATGGAAACCAGCCCTAGGTGCCTACCGACATATTCCGTGCAGGGATGTCCTGCAGTGCGGTGGAGAACTGTGATCAGATATGATTGCCAATGCTGAAGTTCTCGATATTTTATACTACTGATATGCTTCTGTTGCAAAAAAAATTATTTTTTTGCTCATCATAGAATTTGTTGTACATTAGTAGTGATAGGTATTGTTAGATATATCATTTGTAGAACAGAAAACATTTGTGTTATTTTGTTACAAGCAAATCTCTTGTTAAAGATTTATTTGTTAGATTGTTAGTTTTGAAAAAAACAACGGTATACTTATTCAGCTGAAACCTTTCTTGAGGATCTTTAAAGAAAAATATGCCACACAATGTGATAATGTATAAAAAAAAACTATGTATTTATTTCATTTGTATTTATGAAACAGCAAAACATTCTTTACTTCATTGATGATGATGATGATGATGATGATAGGTTTGTGTTTACATTGTTACCATGGTTACCACAAGGATGTGATATTTATTGGTTTATTTTTGCATTTCATTCATTGAGGGAGGACTGTAATGTTGTTTCACTGTAATTTGAAATGAAACTATCATCAATGTTGAATTGTTACCTTGAGAATGTTCAACTGGACATGGAATTAAATGACACGCAGTCATGATGGCGCACCAAGGCTAATCATTCAAAGTGTGCATGATCTTTGAACAAATGTGTGTGGCTGTTGCACATGGTGACAGAGAGCCCAAATATGTGTGTATAAAAACACAAACATTCCAGGTGAATTGATCAACATATTTGGGTAAAATTGCCTTTGATTTTAACGAAAACATCATCTACAGAACCATTGAAGTACAGTTGATTCCATTCGTATGTTTCTTTGTTCATATCCATTTTTCATCTTACTCTTTCTTAGTTTTTAGCTCACCTGACTGAAAGTCCAGTGATCTTATGTCCTGACCTGTTTGTCTGGCACCCAGCCTCGGTCGTCTGTCGGGCAGTGTAAACATTTTATCATAAACCACTGGACCAATGAAGCTGAAACTTCACCTACTTGTACCCACCAATGATGACGCCTCAATTTGTTCAAAAGGTTTTAATCCGATTTTCTACATGGCCGCCACTGCAGCCATATTGTAAAACCTGTTTATCTCCATTTCTCGGCTATTTCTTATCTAAATGTACAGAAATTTGGTATGTATGTAGTTAGTTGTGGGTTTAAAAAGTAATAAAAATCATATGGTGTTCATATCATTGGGATTTCGCTGTGTTTTTGTGAAATAATTCGTATTGAAAGTAATCTCCTTAAAAGGAAAATAAGGCTTTAAAATAGTACATTCATTCATCCTGTTTGCATTGTGGAAATTTGGTTCCTTGTTTCATATTTGTTAATTCTTTTGGCCTTTGAATTTCTGCAGAAAATATTTGAATAGCAAAGCAGACAGCTACTGTTGTTTCGTGGCTGTCATTGTTAACTGAAGATGACATATCCAGGTGAGCTACAGTACCATGGCATTATTTTTGCATATCTGTTTTAGACACAGCTGATGAAGGAAAATTTAATTTTAAGTGTTATGTCACAAAGGTGCTTTTTGAGTAACATATTAATGTTTTAATATTTCCATAAATTCTAAACATCACACCATGTACACATAACATCATTCCTAATAAATTCTCTCAGCTTGTCAACCGAAATATATTTTACAAAATTAATAAATAAATGCAGGTATGTAGTGAATACTATGTTTTCTGTTGCATACTGGAACTGTATCAGAAGATGGACCCTTAAATTATAATCCTGTTAAACTGGATATTATTTGTGACAAAGGGTATGCAATGACTCGACTGAACTACAATGCGATCGTTTATTTTGTTTCTTTTCATCTTGACAACTGTGCATGTGTTCATCATGTTAATTACTTTTGGATCTTTGACCTCTAAGGTCACAGTAAGATCTCGTGCAATATCTTTTCCTGTGCAATTGATCATGTTGATTAAATATTTAATCTGCAAACTGCCTATCTTTGTACTGATCGGCTTTAAAAATCATTAAAGGTGCAGTGTTTTATCACTTCATTGAGTTGCTTTGATTTATTCTTCCTCAGATTCTCAATGTTCTTGTGTTAATACACCTTGGAGCCGCTGACAGAACATCCTACATGGTCATTATGGAGACTTCCTTGCAAGTCATTCCACTCCAGCAACCTTATCAATAACGCTGTTGACATCTTTGCTGAAAACTTGTTTTAAAGCTTGGATGGATTTACCCAGATAAGGTTCTTCAGCATTTAGTTTGTAAATTGATCTCATGTTCCCTAAAACAACACTGTGGACCAAATGTAAGAATGTTTTGTCCCAAGTACTTCAAATCATCATGGTCACTACAAACAAAGGGGTTAAAGCTAAAATGGTTTTTATTCCAGGTTAAACATTGAACAAGGTAGTTATGATGTTGCTATGGTGAACTGGTTTGAAATTGAGATTTCCATAACAGACACCAATACATTCAGATCGTGTCAAATTTGATAGAATGCGGAAAAGTCTTGTTTAGTACAAATAGAAGGGATAATTATCATAAGAGTGAGTGAGTATGGTTTTACGCCGCTTTTAGCAATATTCCATCAATATCACGGCGGGGCACACCAGAAATGGGCTTCACACATTGTACCCATGTCGGGAATCGAACCTGGGTCTTCGGCGTGACGAGCGAACGCTTTAACCACTAGGCTACCCGACCGCCCCAATTATCATAAGAAATCTCTACTGAAGGCAGTGTCTGTTCGCTTTCCGACTATATCAATATGTTATGATACAAATAGTTATGCATTCACTGTGTGAATATATTGGACATTAAACAAAATGGCACTCCCAAAACTGTGATGTTTCAAAAATAGATTATAATTGATGAGTACCATCATGCACTAATGCACAGATTAATTGTAACTACATGATCAATTATTGAGAAAAATGCCAAGTGGTTATCAAATGTATATTCAAAATGGTCAACTACGCTTGTCGCAAAAGGCGACTTACGGTATCGGGTGGTCAGGCTTGCTGACTCACAATTGCGTGGATCGATGCTCATGTCAATCACTTGATTGTCTGGTCCAGACTTGATATTTACAAACCGCCGTCATATAGCTAGAATATAGCTGAATGTGCCAATAAACAACAAACAAACAAAACATGTCAACAGTTAATTCCCTGTGTTTGTACACAACTACACAAAAACAATCAGCAATGAGCAACCAATCAACTATTTTACATTTAGGACCAAGAGTCTTAGAATTTAAATTATTATTTTTTCAGAACAGGTCCTTTCATTGAATCTACAGCAAACAGTAGTCTATGATTGATTGGTTCGGGACAGAGTCCTTAATGTCAAATGATTGATGACATCCCAACCGATACGCTGTACTACCCATCATTAACATCGCTAAACACAAATCCATCAGCACAGATATATAAAAAATCCATCACCCCATCAATCAATTCTTTATTTCATGAAGAGTGAGGCCAAGGGCCCTTGCTACATGTGCTGACCTGTGATGTATCGTAACAGCAAAAGATAGTATCAATTATACACATTTTTATCACGAAGCAGCGCAGAGATACTGCATGATAGATGTGCAATGTGTTTTTGGATAAAATTACACTCTTTGTTGACATTATAATGCATGTACTACATTTGTACTTTATGGGTTTTACAGAATATTTAATAGGTACCGGTATCTACTTAACGATTGTAAGCACTACCAAATAACTTTGTACTTTTTTATGTAACCAATATAACATGTCTTACATAGTCTTATACTTTGATCTATATGAAGTGTTCTTTAAGGGTTTTACACATAGTTGGTAGGAAAAACATACAAACTGGTCAAGAACCACTTATATATTTCGTTATTGTTAAACAATATATTTCTGTACATGAAGATGTCGTGAACATTGAATATGACAATAGTTTTTTAAATTGATCATGCCACTTCTGTTAATACGAATGTTTAAGACCGTAATTTTGATACCAGTAAAAATTGCATGACTTTAATGCAGTTGTTCCCATATATAGCCAAAGCCGATTGAAAATAAGAATTTCTCTCTCAATGCCCTCTTAATCTTCCATTCCCCACTCATTGCACTGGGTTAACGTGATAATGGTAGTTGGTTGGTTGGTTTGTGTTTTTTAACGCCGCACTCAGCAATATTCCAGCTATATGACAGCGGACTGTAAATAATCGAGTCAATCCAGTGATTGATATCATGAGCATCGATTCACGCAATTTGCATCGATGACATACATCAACCAAGTCAGCAAGCCTGACCACCCGATCCCGTTAGTCGCCTCTTAATATGACAAGCATAGTCGCCTTTTACGGCAAGCATAGGTTGCTGAAGAGCTATCCTACCCCGGATCTTCACGGGTTAGGGGCAGTCGGGTACCCTGGTGGTTAAAGCGTTCTATCGTCACGCTGAAGAACCGGGTTCGATTCCCGACATGGGTACAATGTGTGAAGCCAATTTCTGGTGTACCCCGCCGTGATATTGCTGGATCAAACTCACTAACTCACTTCACTGGTTGATATGGGTAGTGACCTAAGGTTTTTGTATATAGATATAAAGGGTTCCTACCACATTCACCATCAGCAACCCATGCTTGCTGTAAAAGACGACTATGCTTGTCGAAACGGGATCAGGTGGTCAGGCTTGCTGACTTTGTTGATGCATGTCATCGTATCCCAATTACTTGGATTGATGCTCATGATGTCAATCACTGGACTGTCTGTTCGAGACTCGAATATTTTTCAGCCCGCCATCATATAGCTGGAACATTGCTGAGTGCGGCGGTAAACAACAAACAAACAAACAAACCACATTCACCACTTCAAATTTGGTTGGGGTGGAGAGCTTTACACAAAGGAAGTGCTTGCAGGCCGACATATGAACAAATTTGACATTATCCCTTTGCGTGAATAAGGACTTGGGTTTCATGCCACTTTAAATAGTATTCCAGTTTTGTCTCAGAGTGTCAACTTAATCTGGAAGGAAAGGCCAAAGTGATACAGGTTTCAGACACTTATCACTTTGGTGAAACCCATGAGCACAGGTATGGTGCCGACATCATCACCGTATGATTGCAAAACAATACCAAGCGATCATTGATTGTGTCTATTGTTCAAATATAGATTTTTATACATATTATTCACAAATTCTGTTTCACCTAATTGTGACACAGCGCCGGCCAAAAATATTTGACAAAAGTCATTTTATTTTTTTCAACTCTCAGGTCACTCTCGTAATCCAACTTAAAATACCTATCAGGCCTAAAATTGGATCTTTAACTTTTAAAAGATCTCATTTTAATGAGATTGTTTTAAAGTTGCACTCAAATGTACGACAAGGCTGTATATCTTTCTTTTTTTCTTTTCTTTTTTCTCTTTTTTTGACATTTTTTATTCCAAGGCCGTATATCTTACTCTTGTCCATTTGACAAGTCGAAAAGATGTGGTTGCTTTTAGATTAGAGCAGGGCTGACAATTTCACCAGCACTAATAGCAAAGATAAAGTTGTTTCAAACAGCAAATGAACAGTTGTAATGTAAAAAAAGAAAAACTGTCTCTTTACAATATAAGTTTGTAAGAAACTGTCACAACCTTAATTAAAAAAAATGTGTTCAATTTAGACGACAATTAGTGTATTGATTACTTGACAAGATCTGCTTTCAATCTCCTTTTATATTGTCAGTATACAAAGGAATCATATTTACTCGAACTTGACTCCCACGGGATTGAAAATATGTGCAGAGAGAGGATCTACTTGAAATCCATATCAAAATAATATACAGCCCTCCACCACAGACATAGCACAACCTCATAACAGCCTTCTATTGTGCCAGACACAATGGCCCCGACAAGATAGTATTGATTTCTATAGAGAACTTTCAGGGATGCCTACATTGTATAAAATAATGAAAGCTTTCCCAGGTGACTGCATGAAGGAACCAATGATAACATAAAAGGATTTTCCAATGTTTAATTTTGTTTTAATATGCTCAAATGCTGGAGAATATTATAGAGAAGCTCTCTTGGGAAGGGTTGTCGGTTGTTTTTTCTGATCGGCCATTTCATACACTAAATATTGTATGAAATTCAGTGTTGACTGAACATGGGTTATGTCAGTATAATTGAGCTAACATGAACGTACAACTGAACCAGAAATTTGTGTTTTTTTGTTTTTTTTACTTGTGAAGGAGTGGATCCACAGCATGTATTGGTGTGGGGAGGAGTTTCTTTTTCTTGATCTGGAACTAAATTGAGTCGTTTTAACCTTTTATTAATCATTGAAAAGTGATGTTTTGAATTTTCGAAACATTTTACGAATGTGAAACCTGAATAAATCAGCAACTGTATTTGGAAATTTGCTCACTACTTTATAATTTCTGCAACTTTTTATTAATCATTTAAAAGTGATGTTTTGAATTTTCGAAACATTTTACGAATGTGAAAACTGAATAATTCAGCAACTGTATTTGGAAATTTGCTCACTACTTTATAATTTCTGTATTATATTTCATATGCAGTAAGATGTTGGCATGAGGAATAACATGGTATTTGCCAACATCTTTAACATGTAATGTTTGCCCTCCATCAGCCAGCGGGGCGGTCGGGTAGCCTAGTGGTTAAAGCGTTCGCTCGTCACGCCGAAGACACGGGTTTGATTCCCGACATGGGTACAATGTGTGAAGCCCATTTCTGGTGTCCCCTTCCGTGATATTGCTGGAATATTGCTAAAAGCGGCGTAAAATCAAACTCACTCACTCACTCACTCACTCCATCAGCCAGCTATGCATGCAATGTGTAAGTTGATGACCAAGCAGTGTGGATGTCTGTTGTGTAAAAACTGCAGTGTTGCAACAGTTAAACAACAAACTGGCAAACCATGAAGATCCGAAGATCCGAGTAGAATAGGTCTTCAGCTTGTCGGAAGAGGCGACTAACAGGATCGGGTGGTCAGGCTCGCTGACTAGGTCGATGCATATCATTGTATCCCAATTGCATTGACCTATGCTCATGA